CCCTCAGTTCATTTTCATTCTCTCATTCACCCTGAACGAGTAGCGTGGCTGGTGTTGCTAAATTAGACCGGTTTCAATTTAAGGAATTATTTCAATCAAATTGAAAAGGGACTCAATAAAGATGCACAAGAAGAATGACTCCATTTAATTATAGAAAACAGTGTCTTGCCTATACCCAGTGAAGCTGATAAAATAGTGCATTAAGCTTGTGCAGTTTTCTGCACTCAAATGAAAGTCTCCTTGCAGCTGCATACATAAAAACTCTTCTGCAAATATTCTGATGTAGACAGAAGCTGATTCAGACACCCAGCTAAAGTCATAGTGAGCTGCAAACTGCATTGTTTTGATAAATCATCCAGAACTAAATGTTAGACCAAACTGCTTCAAGACAAACCCTGCAGGTCACTGTCCATCAACTGCATGCTGTATAGTATGCTCCCTGAGGCAGGAGCAACAGTCACTGTTGCTAACCAGACAGTGGCAGTGAGTAATGCAAAATGGCCACATAACTGATGAGGAGACTCACCGTGGCTGTGCAGGGACCAGAAGAGAGGGGCGTTGGGGTCATGTGTCCACCCACACAGGCCATGGTCGAAGTCACACACACTGTCTGATGGAGGAGAGGTCACTACTGTAGGTGTGGAGAGTGACGGGGAAGGAAACGAGAGAGTAAGATGGAGAGGCACAGGGCAGATAGGAAAGCACTCATAGCCATTTCAGATGAAGAAGCATTCACAGCTGCGCTACCTAATATCATATGATGTCTTTTAAAGGCTTTTATCTTTGTTATGACAGCTCGCTAACAACACTCTTAATCCAGCATTTTTAATGCTTTCCTGAAAAACACTTTGTTGCTTGGTCTCACCTGTAGTCGTAATAGGGACAGTGGTGGTTTCAACATCAGAGGGCTGAGTTGGAGCTACAGTGTCCGCCAGTGTGCTGGTTTCTACACAGACAAATAGCACAACTCAGGTCAGAGGTGGTAGAATGAAATAATCCTTAGACATTCTTGCAAAAAATACAACTTAATCACAGCCTGTGGAATTTCTAATATCATATGTTAGGGAGTGCCGGGAAATATGCAAAGACAGAAGAAATGATAAGCAACAAAGTCAGAAATAAACAGAAAGGAATGCGATAAATTATGTTCATGCATACCAATTTACTTGCCAGATCATTTTGTGGCTCCAGAAACTGAATTTTCATTTTTTTCATTGCACCCTGCACACATTTGTACACATAAACATCATATCTCAGTATCATATGAATTAAAGTGCATGTCATAATAGAGAGTCTAAGGTCTGAAGCTAAATCTATATTTTGTCTCCTGTCTCCATTGGGCCATCCCACCCAGAGAATCTGAGACAGGCAGAGGCAGGCACAGATAGCCCCAGAGCACTCAAAAGGGCCCCTGTCATGCTTTGTCTGGGTGCTCAACCATAAGAATATGTCTCTTACACACACACACACACACACACACACACACACACACACACACACTGACTAAAATATGCAGTCACACAGATGCAGAGTCACACACTCTCTCATACATACAGAGCGCCTTGTGCTTAGGCTGATAGATGGATGTGTCTAACAAACTCCCTCCGACCTTGGATGGGATGATCACACTCTGGGACCACTCACTGGCGGTCCCGGAGGATACACAACACACTCCCTCTCCCACTTTGTTTTCTCATGCATGTGTGAGGTACCGTGTGGGCTACCGAGCATCTCCCTTACTCTATCACTCGTGCAGTCGAGAGAAGGGAGAACAAACACAAAGTGAAATGAATGATTTTCTCTCAGCATTAACATCTATTTAGGCACACGTATATCATAACAAAAGACAAAAAAACACACAAAGGTATAAATAAGCCAACAATATGCACTCAAACAACACACTGTTGATGCAGTTGCAATGTGAAGTGAGAGATAGTATTGTGTTATTAGGAGTAGATGGATGAACCCAGGTGTGTTATGGGGTTACACAGAGCATCACGTCTTAGCCACAGGTCCAAATTTATCATGTGAATAACTGTGTAAGCTATTCTCTCACATTCTGTATATGTAGCTATTGCAAAAAGTCATTAAATGTGACCTATGCCACATTTCACTACACTAGCCTGAGTCACATTGTGCTAAGTTGACACTTAGTTGATCACGCAAATGATATGTGTGGATGCTTACGAATATTATGTTCCAGATTCCTTTGCTAGCTTTCCTTGCCTTGTCTCATTTAAGCCGGTCCAAACAACTCTGAGGCTCGGATGCCTGATGAGCTCATGTGAAATAGAGCTGATCAGTTGGAAAAGAAGCATGCAAGCATCTAAAAAATTAAAGACACATGGATTTACCCTGCTGAATGCCTCTTAAAGGAAATACTAGAACCCCCTCCTGTTAATTTTCCACTTTCTGCATATCTACCATATCATTTAAAGACTATGAAAGGCGCTGGGTGAAACGAACGTGGTGTGATACACAATTGATCTGCTTAAAGGAACTTCCTGTGGAAATGAGCGTGACGGTGCCCCAGCTGGAAAAATGGCAGGCATGAAAGGATCAGCCACAGCTGGGGATGGTTTCTGACATTAACCTGGTGTTAATGCCATGTCTTTTATGTTAGTTATTAACTAAGGAGACCCTTATCAGTGCCAGGCCACTGGGACAGTAAGAGAACGAAAGGAGCCCTCTAGCTCAAATCTCTTTTCAAATGAAAGCTCACACATTGTTCCCTTTCTACTCTTTGTTCTCTCTTGTGCTCACCTGTCTTGTTCAGCTTTTTGCATTTGCTTTTTTATTCCAATCTAACCTTTGAGTCCTTCATTTAAGTCTCTGGACCAGGCGTTAAAGTAAACCATGCAGCTACACATTACTGGGGTGTCAGCGTGCACACACACACACACACTCCCTTGTGTGAGTACAACTAAACACATATAAACAGAGTCCAGTCCATTAAGATTCTCCCCAGCTCCTGTGCACTCTGTGCATTCAAAGGTCATGCCTTGTCACAGTGTAAATGTGCTGACCTTTCCAGGGTATGACAGGAGTGTCAAGGGCAATGGGACCGATTTGTGCACTTGTGTGGGTGAATGTTTATTTGAAACAGAAAGAAAATGGGTGTGAATTACGTCACCTGCCTCCCTTGCTGCTGTCATTTATGTGTGCTAGGACTATGTCACAAAGATGCATGAGGAGGCCCCATTGTGCACAGGAAGACCTACTGTATTGTACACGTGCAGCAGATGGTCCTGTAAAGCAGGAAAAGTCCCTCTGCCGCAGTGTTTTCTTATATAATGCATCTACTGCTGCAGGTGATGATGCAAGTCATCATCATGCATGGGATGAGACACCAGCACCTAGAACTGAATCCAGGGGAAGTGATAGCAAAGATAATGGAGATGCATTCTCACATGTACATGATGAAGCTGTGCATAAAGCACGTTCACATGTTCTCACAAAAATACGCATAGATATTTACACAGATCAATACTTTTGCACGCCTGTTTTTCAGCACACACAGACATCAAAAATACACAGATGCTCCAGGAAACAAAGGCCAAAACTCTGTATAAAAGACATTGCTCATTCTCAACAAATCTGACTCAGCATTATGTCAGAGAAGAGAAAAAAAATCCTCAATTATGTAGAAAGCCTCTGTAAATCTCTGCTTGGCAGTCCTAGAGACAAACACGCACAGACCGATCAGTAGATGTGCATGCACGCTCACACATGCACCCCAAAAGAACATGATGGAAAGACAAGTAGCCACTGTTTGATATTCAGTATTAACTGTTCATCCACACACAGAAGCTTTTGTAAAGCATGGGATGCTGTGACAACAGTGGTAAAAAGACTGTATGAACAGCACTAATAAGTACAGAACCAAACTGTGCTGACTGTTTAAAAATCAGTTCTTGTGGATTCTGTTGCATTTACTGGCACTTTGAAGGAATCAGAAATCAGGCTGAAGATGAGGTTTACACACAGATGTGTATATGTACTGTATGTATGTCTGTGTGAGCTCTAGCACCAGGAAAAGGGAAGAAATTATATTTATCATTAGCATTTTTACAAACCATTCTGTGCACATGTAGACGTGAGTGTGAGACAGATGCACATGAGCCGAGGGAAACGTTAGGAGTCAGGATGAAACAGTAATGAGCATGGAAGTGAGTGATTCACACACTGGACCTTAAGGTGGGACACAAAAAACTGCAACCATATGTAGGAAAGGGGACAGAGACCCTATACTGCGTCCTTGTAGCTGTGTTCAGAATGCACTAGGCAAGATTTGGGGAAAAAAAAGGAAATAACATCAGTCTCAATCATATAAATGAGAACAACAAAGACATTCAAACTGGGCCAACTGAGGACCAAACAGAAAGAAGTGGGCAGCTGGAGTGGAAGGGCAAGCGAATGATTTACAGGATGTCTGCAGTAGTCCACTACTCCAGCTGAGATGTGGAGGTCTGTGATCAACGTATGACCCTCTACTGCAGTTTTCTGTGCCGCAAAGCCCTCTACTCAAAGCGGTGACCTCTGAGGTTCTTGCTTTTATGTTTTGTCTTCATCTTTGGGGTCAGTGCTCGTTGTTGTCCCCACAGATCACGTGTCAATCAACAGCACATACAAAAAACACACAGCTTCCTGTGTGCCCCAGAAGGTTTTGGGGGAAATAAAAAACGAGCCAGTTGTTTAGGGGCAAAAACACTGAGCACCTAACTAGTTAATTAACTATTGTATTCTATGAGTTCTTATAATATTTTTACTTTAATGCCCAACAGTGAAAGTGTATTACTTTGTACAGAAAAGCCATAAAGGATGATGTGCTATTCAACCTTCTTCAACTACAGCAGTGCACTTCATCTGCACTTATGCAAGCAGACAAACACGGACACACATAAATCACTTCAATGAAGCCATAGTCTAACTTGCAGTTCTACAGGGATGATTACAGGGGTGTGTGTGGGTGTGTGAATGTTAAAAGTTAAGAGTATAAACATATATCTCTCCATTACTGTGGTTTGTTTGGTGTGTGTGTGTGTCCTTGTATGCAAGTCTGATCATGTTGCACTCTCTGGCCCCTGTTCAGGCACAGAGGGAGTGGTAAACAGTGAGAGCCCATATGTGGGAGAGTGACGGTGAATGTGTGTCTGTCTCGAGCACTACCTCACATCTGGATAACAGACCATGCTGGAAAGTGAACAAACTAATGCTCTCACTCTCTCGTTCTCTCTCTGCGGGGACACATTCCTTTAAAGCGAACAATGTCCACTCCCTGCTGAGGTTGTATCAGAGAGCCTGACTCCCATCTTCAAGGTGAAATAGTATCAGAAATGAATCAAAGTAACAATCTTTGAGGCTTCATGTTTTCGCTGTGCTATCACTTTTCCTTTCTCGGTTAACACCAGGTGTCTCCTTTGGCCTCTGGCAGGTTCTTATGGCTCTCATGCATATCTAATGTAAACCTCACTTTTGTGGAGAGTCAGTGCCTCAATGTCCATTCACTTCTAGTTAGATCACTTGAGTTCATTACAGTGCAGGGCAAATAACTCCTCCTGGAATACTATAGGCAGCAAATGATCAAATATAAAATGATTCATATAAGCAACAACAGTATGTCCTACCGGGAAGGTCACAGCCCAGTATCTCCACTCTCATCCCGATCCCTGCCGGAGACCACCTCTCTGGATACAGCCTGATGTACTGGGCCACTGTCTCCTCAAAATGACGCAGCTCAGGGGTGTCATAGTGTGTGTTCCCCTCGAAAATCTGTAACAAAAATACATACATGAAAATCAAGGTTTGTCTGTGTGAGTTAGGTTACTGAGCTAATGTCGTTTGGGAACAAAACAATACATCCATGTTCCCATTTGTTCTCCTCCCTCACCCACCTTGGGTAGGCTAGTCTTGCTGTCCATGATGAAATTCCACTCTTTTCCATTCAGGCTGTGCGCCACTTTGTACTTTCTAACAAATGCCCGGTTATCTGTGGTCGCTCCACTTCCTGCGTCTCCTCCCCGTGCTCCTTGGGTGATCACACCTCGCACGGTCTTCGACACTCCCAGGTCCACCTGTGGATAGTTGGCAATTAGTGCATCTATCTAATAGTTATGTTTTACTGCAGCTGTACTACTTTTAGCTCAGTTGACTCTTGCAGCTGGAATAGCAATATGTGGAAGCTAGAAATTAAAGTTACTACTTTAGGTACAACAGTTTTTCTGAAAAACAACATAACAACCAGACAGTTGCTAACCTCTCTAAATCTGACCCTGTGAGACATAATAAGAAATGCATTATTGGCACAGGTAGATATTTCTTTTTTACATCCATTAGCTGCAATCTGCAGCTAATGCATCTCCCAGTTCTTCTTGGGGCCCCCTCAGAACAATCTGCTGCATGTCCTCTCTGCTTATATATACTATTAATGTGTGGAAATTATTGTTAGACTGATTTATGATTCAACCTTTCATCTGTAACATATATGAAAAGCAGGAAAGTATTAATATCATCAAGAAACAGATAAACAAATTGCAATAAATGCAATCTTCCTCAATACCTGTAGCCATTCCTCTCCAGCCAGGGGCTGTGCAGGCGCGGGGAACCAGCCGGAGCGACTGGCCACCAGACGGGCACTCCCAGGACTCCACACCACATCCCTGCTGGAGGAGGCTGAGATCTGGGCGTCAGGTAGCAGGCCAGACAGCAGGCCCTGCAGGTCTGAGCATGGAGCATCTGGAGTGGAAAGAGGACAGAAACTACTTTTACTTTCACCTTGAGGGGGTTGATGGAGAAGTTTCAGCAATGACCTAACATATACTCAAATGTTACACACATTCCCACCTGGGAGCTGTTAAGCTTCACCGCAGGATTGCACTACTGGCTACTCAGCATTAAGAGTTTAGACTGAAACAAATAGGAGAGGGTGAAGTGAAGGACTAGGGAGGGAGGGAAAGAAGGGAGATGTGTAGCACAGAACCACTGCTTCAGGTCCAATGTGCAATTAGACTCCCATTAG